ATTTTTGGTATAGTAATTGTGACTTATTCACACTATATACATTTGGCTTCCGCAACATATATGTGAAAAAGATAATTTAGTAAAGAGTCTTCTTCTGCAGTCCTGCAGGAAAAAAAGAATTTTACTTAGGAGAAGGTCCATTTTTTGTTTGTATTTCCTCTGTCCAGGTTTATATCATTCAACCTTATTTAAATTATACTAGTAAATGCTTGGAATTCCATTATATACTTCCTAAAATCTAATAAAGAGCAAACTTTACTTGCTCCGTCGTTAGACCTTTGTCCGAACTTATATAGAGTTGTCTTTTTCACCTTCAACCAGTTATCCAAGTTAAGACCATTCCTTCAATTATCGAAGCTAAACACATTGTGCAAAACTAGAAAACGGTAAATTGAATCGGAGAACAACGACAAAAACCGTTCAAATTATTTAGAAATAATTTCTTTAAACTTTTTTTTTTACTCTTATTATCCATCTCATCACCCCCTCTCCTACAGCCCACCTCAACCTTCACATGCAACTATATTAAGCCATCCGAATCCTAACATGAGATTCTAACTTTTCTTCAAATTCATATATAGAAAGATATAGTGTCCACCAGCTAGAGAATAAGTCAGAAGTCGGAGTTCTTTTACGTACGCGTTTGCCATGGGAAGTGTTGCAGAAAAGCAGCTTGATATAACGAGTAAGATTGCTCACATCCTTCGAGTCATCTTCTCACCTTGACCTTTCTTCTTGTTTTGACCTTAAATTTCTTAAACTCCTTCTCTAAATTGTTCTATGGAAAGTGATTTTGAAGTAACAATTTTTTAAAGAAAGCGAAGAAAATGGTCAAAAATACTCCTCAACTATAAAAAAAATGTCTTAAGTTATCCTCCGTTATACTTAAGTCATTATATTTATACCCTTTTAATTTTGCCAGCAAATCATTTCGTACTTGCCCTGATTGTAACGGAGCTCTAGCATGGACCCTAACAGAAGTATAACCGCACTTGCTAATGTTCAATCATAGTTAATAAAGCAGAGGGCTAAATCTAGACATTTTTTTCGTATACTTGAACATGTGAATATCCACCAAGTCAACCTGAAGCTCCATTAAGGACAAATACGGGATGTTTTGCTTATGAACCAAGGTATGAACGACCAAAACGTATAACATAGTAAAGTCAAAATATTTTGTATAGTAAACGGGTAGATTATTTGGACATTCTTTCCAAAAATATATGTGTTTGTGTCTGTGTGTGAAAGAGAGTGAGACTAGTGTATGCTGCTGAAACTATACAAGGTGCATGGTGGAAGAAAAGACGCTAGCTAACTTTGATCTTTTTGCCGATTGACAGTCCAAGAAGAAGCAGAAGAAACGAAAAACATGGAGACACCAATTGTTAAAGCTCAATCATTGAATCCAAAGGCAGACAAATACAAGAAATGGCTCGAGATAGGCATCCATACCTTCATTGTCCTGGCTAGCCAATCAGTAGCTACAATACTTGGAAAGTTGTATTACAACAAAGGCGGAAACAGTACGTGGTTGTCTTCACTTACTCAAACTGTAGGTTTTCCCATTCTTCTAATTCCCATGATATTTTGGACAAAAAGAACCCCTAAAGAAGAAGAAGGACCAACGTTAAGACACATTAACGATGACACAAAATCTCCTTCTATAATGGTCTTGTTATCAGTCTATGTTTTTCTTGGTTTTCTGCTTGGAGGAGGCTGTGTTTTGTATTCAATTGGTCTTTTATACCTCCCAGCCTCTACTTATTCTCTAATTTCCTCAAGTCAATTAGGTTTCAATGTCTTGTTCTCACTTTCCATGAGACTAGAAAAACTTACACCTTTTGTGTCCAATTCTATTTTTCTCCTAACCATTTCCTCTATTCTCTTGGCATTACAACCTGATGACTCTTCAAACAAAACGGAATCATCTTCTCAAGGGAAGCGAAATTACGTGATAGGGTTTGTATGCACATTAATTGCATCAGCTGGTTTTGGTTTCCTATTAGCCACAACAGAGCTAATTTTCAGAAAGATCCTAAAAAAGAATACATTGAGAGATATCATGGACGTCATCATTTGTCAATCATTTTTCGCGACGTGTCTCATTCTCATTGGCCTATTGGCAAGTGGAGAGTATAGGAACTTGAAAGTAGAGATGCAAGATTTCGAGCTTGGAAAATTGACCTATATCATGATATTATTGTGGATAAGTTTATGTTGGCAACTTTACACCTATAGTCTTCTTGGGTTGATTATGAAGGTATCTGCTGTATTTGCCAATGTGATTTCCACTTTGGGTACGCCTCTAGATCCAATCCTAGCTGTTATTATTTTTCATGACAAGATGAATGGGGTGAAAGCAATTTCTATTGTTTTGGCTATTTCGGGATTTTCTTCTTATGCTTATCAGCAGTATCTTGATGAGCAAAAACACAAAGCTGAACTTTTAAACTGCAATGGAACATCTGAAGAATCTCTACATGAAAGTGGTGTGATGTGCAAAGATAATTCTACAGAGATTAACTAGGCTGTTTTTCCTTAAATTAGTTAAAACTATCTTAGTATTTCCATATATTAAAAATATTGAAGTTGTTTGTTGCTGTTATTTTCTTTACACAAAACTCTTGGTTGAGCAAAAATTAATAAATTCGGCAGACCCCGTAGACGGGCCTCTAGTTCCGCCCTGTAAGCACGGGAATCACAAATGCATGTGAAATTTTATGCTTTTGTTCAAAGTGGTGACTAAGGTATAGAAAGTTCTTCTAAAAGTATCAACATGTGCGGTATGAGTTCAGCATTATTGGATACTATATATATTACTCCCTCAATTCTTATCTGAAATTGTTTGACTGAATACGAAGTTTAAAAAAAATGAAGACTTTTGTAATTTGTGGTCCTAAACAAGTCAAAAGAGGATCCAGAGTATTTGTATGGTTATAAAAGATTCTGATTAAAGGTAAATTAAAAGTCTAAGTTAAATTATTTCTAAATTTAAAAAAAGGTCATTCTTTTGGAACAAATAAAAAAGAAAATAGGTTCGTGGAGGAGGAAGTACTATTCTATTGTCAAGTTTCACTTTATAAAAAAAGACACATGAAATAGGAGTGATCCTGTTTCCAAATTATCAATAAATAAAATAATATATTTAGTCCTCCAAAAGAAAAATAAATTAATAAATCGAATTGCATTCATACGCGCATAAATATAAAAAGAAATGCACGCACCGATGAGTAAGTCCTCTATGGACCCACTTTTGCTTCTTGGCCCCACCTATCCAAACTTCTTCCTTCCTTATTGGACCATCACCATGTAATGGAATAGCTTATCCTACACCCTCGAACACCATGTTAACTCCCAATTCCTTTAAACAAATACCCCCGTAAGGCGCTAACCACAAGTTCAGGATCGGATTTAGATCATTTCAACTGTTACAATATTGTCAAATCAATTTCACATTTCCAAAAAAGCAAAATCCGTTTCATTAGTTGTATCATAACCGGTACTTCAAATATTTGATTATTGTCAACTTAGATAAATTAGCTTAATCAATAAGGAAATAATGCTTATTCAAACAATAAAGATTTTTGATAATATGAACCAAAAAGGCTTTTATTTGGAATCGGAGTTAAAAAAGAAGTAGGTATAATATATATTATTGGGACTTTTGCATTTATAAAGAATGAGATAAAGATTGACATAGAATTGAAATGGTAAAAATAGATCCCACAAAAACACAGATTAAGGTCAGATATTTTCGCTCAAAAAGAAAATAGGAAAGGTTAGAATTACTTTTTCTTGACAAAGGAAATACTGGATTATTTCGATCTTCAAACTAATATTACATTTTTATCCTGGACAGCAACGCAGTGAATCATCCGCTTTCCCCGAGTCCAAGATATTTCTTCTCTTTTTCCCCCGAGTCCGAAGATATGTGCACTTTTTTCCGGAAAATTAAAAAGAAGATATGTGCACTTTAATTGGCATACACCCAAACAGTTTTCACTTTTCAGTGTAGTCGTTGGTTCTAAGAAACGGTTTGTTCTTTCCTCTCTTCTCTTCTCCACAACCCCCTCCCCCCCCCCAACTCTCACTTCCTTCAGCTGAGATTTATTGTATTTCCTATAGATGGAGATGAAGCTCTCCAACTGTTTACCGAGCCAAAAATGGTGCGGAGGAGGAGCGCCTTTTGTTAGACAAGTAAATGTTCGATTCTATCCACCGCCTTCTCAACGTTTGCTTCCACTTCCAGCTTCCGGCAAAATGCGCCACCGCAACTTCAGGTACTCCTATTCTCCATTCCGTTTTCACGAGGAATCGACTAGTGTAGATTTGGTATGGAGCAGTTGATTGCCTTTCTGAAATATTTGAGCTGGTTTCGTTGAGTAATTTGAGGTTTATAGGGGGGGAAATGCTGAGGTTTTGTAATTTATTTTTAATTTTTTGCTATTCAATTAGGAATTTATGATAAATGAGAGTTGCGGAGAGTCAGTTGGTTTCCTGTGATTTGAGGTTCTGTGTTGTGGAAAATACCTCTGGTTTCTCTTCTTCTTTTTTCTTTTTCCTTTTTTTTTTTTTTGGTTTTAAGTTAGGTTTAGGGATTTATTTCAAAGATTTTAAGTTTACTCACTGATACCGTAAAAGATATTTACACAATCACTTCGCTTAAAAGGTAATAACAGCCCACTCTATTTAATAAGCATCGATTGGTAACTTGGAATAAATGGTATAACATGCGATAATAGATTAAATTACACTGATAATATATATTGCGTAAGATCGTGGGTTAAATAGCACACAATCACACACAAAGCGTATAGAGAGGAAAAATCAACTCAAGGATTTAACGAGGTTCGGCTAAGCCTAATCCTCAGGGCAGAAGCAGAGAGAGTTTTCCACTATAAATGAGAGAAGAAAAGCACGATACAATCTATAGAATCCTCGACTACAACCCCTATATATAGATCCCAAATAGTCCCAAACCTATAAGAGAAAGGTTTTCCAATTTGACAAAGACAATAGGTTTTCCTTTCCCAGATCTATTAGGACAATGAATTTTCCCAAACCTATAGGGATTATGAGTTTCCTAAAAATACAAGGAAATAATTCAAGCCACAAAATAACAATATAAAATTTCATTAAACTATCAGTATATATAACTTAAATCCTATTTGAAATCCTTTTGGAAAGAGTAGTTGAGTAGATTTGAATTGTCGAGATTTATTTGCTTTAGTTTCTGTTAGTAGGAGTTGGTTTCGCTGTGATTTGAATATTTGTAGTGGAAAAGTCTTTTGAGTGTTTGATTCTTTAATTAGGGCTAGTGCTTTGTTTTGAGTTAGGCGATTGTAAACAAAGTGTTATATTTCTTTAGTTTTGTATTATATATTGTTTCAATCAGGTGTTTGGATATTATTATTGAGATGTATTTGTCATTGAAGCTCTGAATGTTTAGAAGAGTTTCCTTTTCCATTTTTTTGGGCAAAAAGTTTTTAGGTGATCAACTTCTGGTTAATGTGATACACGTCCATTATCTAATTGTTGGGAATTGTACATGGACTGGTACTTTGTTGTGCATTATTCTCTGTTTAAATTTCACTTGATTGAGCATGTTATCATGGTAGTGCTGAATAGAATATGCTAAATATTAAGTATTTGAGATATTTGTCTGTAGTTTATGGCTTGAAAGATTAAACAAGAACTGTTGGTATGGCAGTTTAATTCTTTATCAAAAAAAGAAAAGAAAGATTAAACAAGAGGACGTATCCTTCATGGCTACGGCATAGAACTTTTCCATAGAGCACATATTTGTGTTTATTGCCTTATGGATATTAATTTGCTCATATCTGGGAAGTTCACTGGCGTATAGAGAAAAGAAGCAACAAGGAACATAACTTGTTGGGTTTCAAATTATAGATTAGGTTATGTGTGTATGATATGGCAGCATGCGCTGATGATGAACAAACTGACATTTCATGATGGTAGTCTTTATAACAAGGAAGACAGTTAGTGAGTTCTCCTCTCAAAATAGGGAAGAGGACTGGCTTTTGTAATATGATTAAAGATATTGACTAAGAAAAGTAAACATTTTAATTGAGGGAAGGAGAAAACATTTGTGATCGATTCAATCATGATCGCGGAACCTGGAACTGCAAAAGATGAACAACGATATGCTGTAATTTATTAGTTTGGAACTTTACTTAAATAGCTTGGTGAAAAATGTATTTCTAGAACTCGAGTAGATCAACATTGTTGGGAACTCAAAATTGATCTGCTTTTCTATCTCCAGCTGCATTAATTGACAATGCTCTGAAATTTCCAGTTTGCAGAACAAGAGACAACAAACCAAGAAAATAAATATTGAACGCCCGGATGCTGATCTTCAGTCAAGTGATGCTGTAGATTCCAATACGAAAAATATGTCCAAACAAAACCTATCAAGTTCAAATCAGGAAATCTCAATCAAAGAAAATGTTGACACTTTGACAGAAGCCGAAAGCTCCGAGGAGATTAGTTATTTGGTATGTTCTTTGAGATATTGGACAATGAGATACTTGTAGTCATTATGTACTCTGTGTATGTTGAATAAGGCTTTTCAAGTGCGTCATCCAAATTACCCCTTTCATTAAATTCTCTGAGTGGAGTTTTTCACAAATCTAGGACCCTATTAGAACTATCTGAAAATCTCTGGCATGCCGCAAAGAGTGCCTTGAGGAGAGCGTACCTTTATTTTGGCCATTGACAAATAACTAAGCGCCTTTCAGCATTTGAACTAAATTGCTGTACCTTGTGCCTTTTTGATGGATCTTTCTCAATATATGAAGTATGAACTATGTGCCAAGGTGGGTGCTTCCATTATAAAAAGAGAGTTCTTATGTTATCATAATTAATTTCAAAATTTACATGACTTCATATACACCAGAGCTATAGCTTCTGTACACCTACAAATACTGTAAGAGAAATGGAGTTCTTTAAATGGTTTAACTAGTATGCTAAAAAAATTCCTGAAATTATAAACCAAAGAAAGCTGAATGCGCCTTCCAGACCTTCATGCTGCATTTCTTTCTGCTGAGCATATTGGCCCCTGAGATTTCCTGCCCATCAATATATTTAATGCAGGAGAGTTAATTTTCTTGGACCTCTCTTTGATTCTTGTCTTTTGCAATCGATGAATACTTCCCTTACATTTTCTACCGACCTATGACCTCTACTGTACCATTTACATAAGTATGAAACCTGATCTATCATCAGTGTATATGGACCTAACAACTTAGTTTGCATCACATATGATCCAATTTATTGTCGTGGCCGGAGCAGAAAGCTAGCATCAACAGAGGTTTGATGCATGTCATACATCCTCAGAACTAAGCTCCACCGGACTCTGTCATTTTGTTCCTCGCTAACATAGAAGTTGAAAAGATGCTTGTTCATATCTACTCTTTAATCAGTAATATCTTTTCGTTTTGTCTCTTTTGTTCAATTCATCCTAATGGTGCATTTTCTTGGGATCATAAATTGAATACCTTGTGATTGAAACAGTCTGTCGACTCAAATGAGGAGGGACAACCTTCAAGTGTTCATCTTCAGGATTTGATTGGCATGATAAGAAATGCAGAAAAGAGTAAGACAATTCTGGTTTTCCATCTTCAAGTTCACTCTGTTTGCTATTTCATGGTTTTCTCCCCTGGAAAGTTTGTGTGAATTCATTAAAATCAAAAGAATTGTTGTGTAACTTCATTACCTTCTGAATAACATCTGTAGATATTCATCTACTCAATGAAGCTCGTATTCGTGCATTAGAAGATCTTCAAATTGGAGAGAAAGAGGATTTGCATGGAGAGATCAACATTTTAGAAATGAAGCTGGCAGAAACTGAAGCACGGCTCAGAGTTGCCGCCCAAGAAAAAATACATGTGGAACTTCTAGAAGACCAGTTGGAAAAGTTGAAAAATGAATTGTCTAGCAGCAGAAGCAGTGAAGAAAATGTGCTTCATGTGAATAATTCAGTTCCTCTTTCAGATAATGATTCTGTTAAGTCACTGAGCGAGGAACTTGATTCCTTAAGGAAAGAAAATATATTATTGAAAGAGGATCTTCAAGCGTTGAAGTCAGAGCTTACTAATGTCAAGGAAACAGATGAACGCATTTTAATGCTAGAGAAAGAACGATCAGTTCTTGAATCTTCTGTAAGTGAGTTGGGATCTAAACTAGCTGCATCTCAGGAAGATGTTTCAGAGCTCTCTGCCTTGAAATATGAGTGCAAAAATTTATATGAAAAGGTGGAACACTTACAAACATTGCTAGCTAAGGCAACTAAACAGGCAGATCAAGCAATATCAGTGCTACAACAAAACCAAGAGCTACGAGAAAAGGTTGATAGGCTTGAANATTATTGTGAATTGGTTATAGATCATCTTTTTATCGTAATTCCAGATAACTAAAGGTTAGGCCAGAATCACATATGCACCTAATCTGTAAAAAGTTATGTTCTCTTCATCTGTGCATTGTGGACTTTTCCTGGTGGCTGGTGCTAATGTTTGTTTGGTACAAGTGTATACTTACCTTTTTCTCAAAAAAATGTTTTTTCAGTACAAGTGTAGCAAAATAGGCTGCATATGATAGCTAGTCATGCAACCAGTATTTCTCCTCTTGGGATCTTGGGTTTTTCTTTTATTTGTTTTCTGTTCTCTGTTATGCCCTCTGAAAGATGAACATTCTGTTGTATGATACTAACATATTATTCGTCCTATTTAAGTATAATAAGCTTTCAAGGACATTGCTTGGTTAATTAAGCAACAACTGTATAATTATATCCTCAAAACTAAGCACCAATTGTATTGGTGGCATTTGAAATGTATAAATTTATTTGAAAGGAGTTCTTAATTGTCTCTTAGGTAGGTGGTCTAGGGGATGTGGTGACAGGCCTTGGCAAGGCTCTGCAGAAGAAAGGACACCTTGTGGAAATTGTTCTTCCTAAATATGATTGTATGCAGTATGAGTCAATTAAAGACATGAAGGTATGCTTGAAAGTTGACATTCCAATCATCATCTTAGTAGTCTTAGTAGACCAGGTTGTATTATGATTTTAAATCACGTAAATGGTTATGTTTCTACAGGCCTTAGATGTGGTTGTTGAGTCATACTTTGATGGTCGGTTATACAAAAATAAGATCTGGACGGGCACTGTTGAAGGTCGAGAATATTTACGGTCCAAAAGGGTCCATTTCTTTGTTACATCTTTTGCGTGTAGGCTTGGCGATATCATATTCAGTCGCTTTTATTTTCAGGCCTTCCTGTCTATTTCATTGAGCCTCAGCATCCTGGTAAATTCTTTGGGAGAGGACAACTTTATGGGGAGCACGATGATTTCAAACGATTTTCATTCTTTAGCAGGGTAGCACTTGAGTTACTACTTCATGNCGGACGTATCTGTGATGCATATATGTCATGCAAGGAAAAGAATGAACGTGAAATTATAGCGACATTTCTTAAATTTACGTCATCGTCAACACGGTATGTCTGGTATTAGTAATTCGCAACAGAATATTCCTAGTTTAAGGATATAACTTGCAGTTTCTTTTCTGGTCAATCAATAGTCCGGGACTGCATATCATCCATATTGCAGCAGAGATGGCGCCAGTTGCAAAGGTATAACGGCTCCTCTCTGTGGATTTTAGTCCTCTATTTGATGAAGAAAATGAATCTTAAGCTATATTTATTTGTTTAAAAATTTCTTCAGAATGCATTGTTGGATTGTGTGTTCTGTATTTAGGACGACATAATTGTCTCCTTACATCGATGTACAAAGGGTGGAAAGACAAGTCTCTAAAAATTAGTTAAATAATAGTACCTGGTTTTAAAGACGAAGGCAATTATTGTGAATTGGTTATAGATCATCTTTTTATCGTAATTCCAGATAACTATAGGTTAGGCCAGAATTACATATGCACCTAATCTATAAAAAGTTATGTTCTCTTCATCTGTGCATTGTGGACTTTTCCTGGTGGCTGGTGCTAATGTTTGTTTGGTACAAGTGTATACTTACCTTTTCTCAAAAAATATTTGTTTAGTACAAGTGTAGCAAAGTAGGCTGCATATGATAGCTAGTCATGCAACCAGTATTTCTACTGTTGGGATCTTGGGTCTTTCTTTTATTCGTTGTTTGTTCTCTGTTATGCCCTCTGAAAGATGCACATTCTGTTGTATGATTCTAATATATTATTCGTCCTATTTAAGTATAATAAGCTTTCAAGGACAATGCTTGGTAAATTAAGCAACGACTGTATAGTTATATCCTCAAAACTAAGCACCAATTGTATTGGAGGCATTTGAAATGCTTAAATTTATTTGAAAGGAGTTCTTAATTGTCTCTTAGGTAGGTGGTCTAGGGGATGTGGTGACAGGTCTTGGCAAGGCTCTGCAGAAGAAAGGACACCTTGTGGAAATTGTTCTTCCTAAATATGATTGTATGCAGTATGAGTCAATTAAAGACATGAAGGTATGCTTGAAAGCCGACATTCCAATCATTATTTTAGTAGTCTTAGTAGCCCAGGTTGTATTATGATTTTAAGTCACGTAAATGGTTATGTTTCTACAGGCCTTAGATGTGGTTGTTGAGTCTTACTTTGATGGTCGGTTATACAAAAATAAGATCTGGACGGGCACTGTTGAAGGTCGAGAATATTTACGGTCTACAAGTGTCCATTTCTTTGTACATCTTTTGCATGTAGGCTTGGCGATATCATATTTAGTTGCTTTTATTTTTCAGGCCTTCCTGTCTATTTCATTGAGCCTCAACATCCTGGTAAATTCTTCGGGAGAGGACAACTTTATGGGGAGCACGATGATTTCAAACGATTTTCATTCTTTAGCAGGGTAGCACTTGAGTTACTACTTCATGCTGAAAAGAAACCAGATATAATTCATTGCCATGATTGGCAAACAGCTTTTGTTGTAAGATGGATTCCAATTTTTCTTTACCTTTTAGCTCCTGTTTTTCATACATTTAGGATTCTATTATTTCATGAAGGCACCACTTTATTGGGATCTGTATGTGCCAAAAGGATTGGACTCAGCGAGGATTTGCTTTACATGCCATAATTTTGAGTATCAAGGGACTGCACCAGCATCAGAATTAACATCTTGTGGTCTTGATGCTTATCACTTGAACAGACCAGACAGGATGCAGGACAATTCAGCAAATGATAGAATAAATTCCGTGAAGGTAGCAAGATTTATGATGATAAGTTGTTCTAATTGATTTTGGTGGCTCCATTCCCTCCATGTCAACATTTTTAATATGCAGTATGTTGTTCTTTCTTGTTGCAGGGTGCAATTGTGTTTTCTAACATTGTTACCACAGTTTCACCAACTTATGCTCAAGAGGTCCGGACTGCTCAGGTATGAATTTCATTTCCTTAGGCACCTTCTCTCACCTTCTGTCTTCATGCAGCATGCAGTCATTTTTTTAATCTTATACTTAGGTAAAAGGTTTCTCTAGTGAGACACGATAGGTTTTGTTTGGAATGCAACTTAAATGGGACTTTTGAACCGTAGTCTCTGCAGGGCCTCAACTGACCTCTTGCTGCCAAACTTCTTCACAAGATAAAAAAAAAAAAAAAAATCTGTTGTTGCCAAAGAGTCTCAAAATATATCTCGTCGTTTCCTTCTTCATTCTTTCCTTGTCTTTCTGGTCTTAAAGAGGCTGAATATTCCCCTGTTGACTTCAAGAATTGGTTTGAAAATCTAAATGTCTTCTATAAACAATTGACTGGTGACATCCTTGATTTTATAGATCCCAATAATCATGTCTTTTGAGTCTTCATTTGATTTATGTTAGCCATATGGCCCATATATTTTCAAGATGGTATTTCTACTTTTGACCAAAACTATAGAAGACCTTGAAACTTAATTCGTGGTAGACCTGATATTTGACTAGATCAAAAGCTTATTCGAGATCTGAAAAGTCCAAAGGTGGTTTGGCGGAAGTACCAAGTTCTCTTCAAAAATTGATTGCACATGTATTTGATTTCTAAGCTTTATTCATATGATACATGATGATCGTTGGGAGTGTAGAATGATCCAATTAGCAAGGTGATGATATAAATTACTTGTGCATGGTTCAAGTAACTAATCCCATCCTCCTACTAGGTGAGAAAAAAAGTTACTTTGGCAACACTTTTATATAAGATAATGTTATTTGATTGAAGCTAGTACCAAGAAGGTACTGAGGACACTTTGACAATCTGTTATCATGTTTAGACAATCCTTTTCCTCTTTTTTTACAATCATCACTTTACACCTTGCTTGATGAATTTCTGCCTCTCAGTCAATTTTCATTTATGATGTACAGGGAGGAAAAGGACTTCATGCAACAATTAACTCCCACTCTAAGAAATTTGTCGGAATTCTGAATGGAATTGATACTGATGCTTGGAATCCTGCTTCTGATAATTTTCTTAAGGTCCAGTACAGTGCCAGTGACAGAGAGGGGAAATTAGAAAATAAAGAAGCTTTAAGAAGACTTCTAGGGCTCTCTTCTTCTGAAATTAGACGACCATTGGTAAGAATATTAAAAGAATTTATGTTTATGATCTCAGTAAGTTTTTTTAGCAGTAAATGATTATGATCTCAGTATTATACTGCTACAACACCAAAATGCTTTAGTTAGTTTGCGACTAACCTTTTAATTATGAGTTTCAGTACAAAAACTATTACTTCTTCCGACCCATTTTATATGACCAGACTGGATTTAAGAAACAAAAAAACCTTTGACATGTAAGCCAGATATATGCAAAGTATCAACTTTTAATTGAGTAGTGGTGAGTGTTTCACATGTCTTTTCATTTTGTCTCTCCTTATAAAAGAATAAACTTCTATATCAAGTGGGTCCCAACTAGGCTTGTCATTACGGGTAAAATGGGATGCTAAGATAAATAATTTCCAAAAGAGAAATGTGTCATTCTTTTTGGATAATATTTCATCAAAGTTAACTCGAGAAACATTTTGTTTCAAGTAAAAACCTCTTGAATCAAGTCTAAATTCTTAGAAAATGTTGGAATGTCATGTGTTATGAGTTATGACAGTTGTGATGCTTAGATACCATGAGTCATCCCACTGTTTATATTTTATCGTTAACAATATTTTGATGACACTAGACTACTCATTTTATTGTACCAATCGACCTATCTTGGCATCCACACCCTTATTTATCACAAAATCTGATGTAATTATACTTACTGCTTATAATGGAAGTTAAAAGCAAAGACAACAAGAAAGACATGGTGTAGGTTATGTTAAAATTTTCAAATACGATATTGGAGGATTAAGCTAATGAGTTAAGAAGAACATCAGTTGGGCTGGATATATTAATTGACATTGCATTATGAGATGCTGTGATTATTCTCTCATTTTGGATAAGGACTTCCATATCACTTATAATTTTAACCTAAGATTGCTTGGTTACAGGTTGGTTGCATAACAAGACTGGTTCCTCAAAAGGGTGTGCATCTTATTAGACATGCCATATATAGGACTTTGGAGTTGGGAGGTCAATTTGTTCTTCTTGGTTCTAGTCCAGTGCCACATATTCAGGTAATGATTTCCTTTTCCTTCGCAGCATCATGCTGTATGCAAATACAATCATCATGACGTCTTAATGATGAAATTGAGAAGATATACTTCACTGAAATTTTAGCACACAGATAAGTCTGTTTAGCTCAAGCTCTTAAACTTTGTTTATCGATAAAATGAGAAATACGGAAGAAGAAGAAGAAGAAGAAGAAGAAGGAAGTTCTACATTTTCAGTTTTGTCAATAGGAATTCACACCTGTACAGAAAGATAGCTGTTGGATTTCCAATTCCAAATGTTGGATCTTCTAGTTAGGTGTACGAGAATGAAGAATTCAGTAACCAAATCTCAAGTCTAGCAGTTCTATTTTTTTGTTTCTGTGCTTATCAACTCAGAAATCCTGTCTTTAAGGAGACACCTGAAACTTGGAAACCTCATGGAACCTCTTTCTGACGATTCAAAAATGGTTGGCATCAGTCACAGCTACATTCCTTAGACAAGGTTGTCTTTTCTTTTCTTTGAGATGATGTGTTCTTTTGCTAAAGTCAGGAGTGCTGGTTTCTTTTAATTTCTACATACAATGGTAAATCATCCCCATTCTTACTTGTATTCTTTTGTATTGGTACTTAAATGAATTGAAGCATTATTTTTTATTCTTATTTCCCCTGACAGAGATGAGGAGGCTTGGATTTTGCTAGATTTTCTTTTAGTGGCTTCTTCTTCCATTGTTAATCATAGGAAAATAACAAAATTGTATTATGATGGAAATTTAATGCTTCTCTGTCATGATACTTTTCAGTTTTGGTATGTTACATCTTCTGCTTTTTCCATGTTTGTTACTTGCCAAACCTTTCATGTGAACTTTTCTGCACTTGCTGTGAATTCCTCCACCATTTGCTCTACCCCTAGTGCATCCTAGCATAATGTTTAGCATTCTGTCAACTCATACATCAATATCGTTGCAGAGGGAGTTTGAGGATATCAGAAACCATTTCCAAAATCACGAACATGCTCGGTTGGTATTAAAGTATGATGAGGCTCTTTCCCATTTGATTTATGCAGCATCTGACATGCTTATCATCCCATCCATTTTTGAGCCTTGCGGCCTTACTCAGGTCATTCCATAATTGCTTGAACACTTTCTAGTAAATGAAGAACCTTTTTAAATAACTCAGTATTTTTTTGGCTCTAATGTTTGAATCCGAATTCTATTTCTGCAGATGATAGCGATGAGATATGGGTCTATACCAATTGCTAGGAAAACAGGGGGCTTGAATGATAGGTTCGTCAACGCGACACAGCAGGACTTCTTTATTAATCAGAGTTCATGGTTATATACTGTTTCATATTTATTATTAACCATTCAAATATGTTTGCAGTGTTTTCGATGTTGACGATGACACAATCCCGGATCAGTTTAGAAATGGATTTACATTTGTGACTGCTGATGAACAGGTAACCTCGCTTTAATAGCTGCCTAAAACATTAGTAAAAAGTTGTCCAAGACATAATACTGGTTCAGTTTTGCGCTTCATTAGCAAATTACTGCTGTTCGGACTCTGCGTCAAGCATTGTTCTTTATATCGAGCATCAAGCATTGTTCTTTATATCGAGCATCAAGCATTTCTTCTTTACATCGAGCATCAAGCATTTGTTCTTTATATCGAGCATCAAGCACTTGTTCTTTATATCGAGCATCAAGCATTGTTCTTAAACGAGTTTTATGTTGCACTGTTTCATGACCAGGGATTCAACAATGCCTTGGAACGTGCATTTAACTACTACATGAACAAGGCTGAGACTTGGAAAGAGCTGGTTCAGAAGGACATGAGCATAGATTTTAGTTGGGATTCGTCAGCATCACAATATGAAGAACTTTACAATAGGGCTGTTTTGAGAGCAAGAACTGCAAGTCGTAGTTGACCTCTTTCTAATCATGATTTGTTAATTCATTGATCTAAGTTGAATGTCAGTGCCATCATTCCGTGGCGATAGCATCCGTTAGGGAATAACTGGGCGAGCAATCCTTGACATAACATAGTGATTCACAAAAGTAAAATGCATGTATGATGTCGGACATCAAAGGTGAAAGTCAGAATTGGCATACCATCTGCGAAGCTTTTCCGGCTAGAAAATGAACAACAGAGTTTTACAAATTTGTTTAAATCTCTATGTTGTTAGTAAATATATATTCTTTTCGACCAAATATGTTGTTAGTATATACTTCACATAGTGCTTACAACTTAAAGCAAAAACATAGACAGTGTAGTCAACTTGTTTAGTACGTGATATCTTGTATAGATTTTAAAGAGAATTCCATTAAATTGCATAAGCTGCTCTAGTCTGTAAATTCAAGTTTAAGCTTTTAACAGCTTTACAGTGTTTTTGGTTACTCCAGTGTCCAGTGGTCATTAGGCCTTACTTTCCTCTCTTTTTTTTTTTTTTTTTTTTTTTGTGGCTGTTTGATTAATGGGTATGAAACTCAGAAATAAAGTCATTTAAACACAAACAAAATCGCATTATATTGTCAGGTGACTCACAACAGCTTTACAAGGCCATCAAACAATCAGAATTTTGAGAATGTTTTATGATATTCATTTTCCGGGGACAAAGTTTGTGGCGTAGGCCCAAGCATTGTTGTTAACTGGGTCTGCAAGGTGGTCAGCAAGGTTCTCTAATGGGCCCTTTCCGGTAACAATGGCTTGAACAAAGAATCCGAACATAGAGAACATGGCGAGTCTTCCGTTCTTAATCTCTTTTACCTTGAGCTCGGCGAATGCCTCTGGATCCTCAGCAAGGCCCAGTGGGTCAAAGCTGCCACCAGGGTAGAGTGGGTCGACAACCTCACCAAGAGGCCCACCAGCAACACGGTAACCCTCAACGGCTCCCATCAAGATAACTTGGCAAGCCCAGATGGCCAAGATGCTTTGTGCATGCACCAAGCTTGGGTTGCCCAAGTAGTCAAGTCCACCCTCGCTAAAGATTTGGGATCCAGCCTTGAACCAGACAGCTTCGCCAAACTTGACACCGTTACGAGCCAAGAGCTCAGGGAAGACACATCCAAGAGCACCAAGCATAGCCCATCTGCAGTGGATCACCTCGAGTTCACGGTTCTTGGCAAAGGTTTCTGGATCTGCTGAAAGTCCAGCAGTATCCCACCCGTAATCACCTGGGAATTCACCGGTCAAGTAGCTTGGGGCCTCACCGGAGAATGGGCCCAAGTACTTAACACGGTCTGGGCCGTACCATGGGCTGCTAGATGCGACAGGTTTGGCGACGGTCTTTCTCATGGACACCCTTCCATTTCCAGTGATTTCTGAGGCAGATGGGGAGAGTTTCACTGCCTGTCCAGCAAAAGAAGGGGAAGAAAGAGCCATTGTAGAAGCAGCCATGGTGTATGAAAAGAAAAGTGAGTGTTTGATGGTTTGAAATGCCGAAGTTGGCTTTGATGAGCTGAAGTTAAAAGTTAGGCTTCACAATATATATAGGAGGTAAGAGCAAAAGAATCCTTATCTTGTGATATCTATATCTATGATCTCATTGGGTATCAAGATTCCATAGGCAGCAGTTGATGCGCACTTGGCGATCTCTAGTCCATCAATTTTCCAAGATTTTTACTAGGGGGACCCGACCCATGTGTGGCTACAAAGGATGGCACTCTATCCTGTGATGAGATGTGAGCTCAATACGATCTCTCCTCCTTTATCCCTTTGGCATTTCTCTAGATTTTTATCTACCACTAGGGGTAAAAGATACCACCTCTATACTGATTCAATTTAGGACGATTTTATTGTTCATGCATCTAATTTCTCTGGTTTATGTTATTCTAAATCGGTTCAGGATAAGCTGAAATTTATTACTACTGCCTAATTTATTAATTGTGGGGAATTTAATATTGCATGCTTATGATTGTAAAGCAATGAGATTAACAGATGATACTCCCCGCCAAATTTATTCTTCCAAAATGAATCGAAAAGGGAAGAAAGAAGAAGAAGAAAATACAAATGAATTAGGTGATTAGTGGCATAATACCTTAATTTCAGATATCTATACGCGCACGGGGTGGGGTTGGGTTGGGTTGGGGGTTTATGCAATGCTATCTACTTTCTGGATATACATTTCTTTCACGGCATCAGTACTAAGTCAGTCAAAGACTTGAATCTTTGCGATCGACCTTAACTGAGCTATTTAAATTAACTGCTTATTTAGCTTGTTTTATGCTTTCCACTGTACTAGACAACTTAAGCAAGAGTCAGTATCTAGTTACATACTTAAGTTTCAATTTCACAAAAAGTGAAGATACTGGTTTTGGTTGTTTTACACATCTAAAATTTATAATGGCAGGCAATGCAAGGACGTCAAACTACATATTTTCAAAAATAATTTAACATAGGTCTATACTTGGATTTTTGTTAATCTCATGGTCATGAAGTGGTATTCTGCCCCATCCGTATAATGGTGTTACGCCACGATCACAATGTGAACTATTGCAGCTCCACCAGTTAAACTATTTTCTGGCAATGTATATTGCACTATTAACCCAATACCATACTTAATATTGGGAAAATTAAATCAACAACAACAACTCAGTGAAATCCCACAAGTGGGGTCTGGGGAGGCGAGATTTTTCAGAGCATTGGCATAGACATCTGCGGAGTTTTTCGGGCTAGAAATTGAGATATTAAGCCTATTTAATAAGGTTGCAAATAGTCTGTATGTTTCTATTGTGTGTATTATGTCTGTGTGCAGGCGTACAGCTGAAATCTTTTAGTTTATAAGTACTACTTTGCTCGTACTGCTTAAGAAAGAAAATAGACTGTGTACATAATCAACTTGCTATATACCTGCGATTCTGTACAGATTTTAAGGAGAATTAGTTTAAATTCCCTAAGCTTCTCTGGTCTACAAATTTAAGCTTAAGCTTTTAACAGTTTTATAGTTACCACTTAACACATCCCAAATGTTTGTTCGGTCTTTTTTTATCTTTGGTATGGAAATGGTAGTGTCTGAATGACTTTGGAAAAAGAACTCAGAACTACACAATCATTGGTAATAAACAAAAATTCATTCTATTGTCGAGTAACTCAAAACAACTTTACAAGGCCATCAAACAATCAAATTTGAGAATGATTAAGATTTTCATTTTCCGGGGACAAAGTTTGTGGCATAGGACCAGGCGTTGCTGTTAACAGGGTCTGCAAGGTGGTCAGCAAGGTTCTCCAATGGGCCCTTTCCGGTAACAATGGCCTGAACAAAGAATCCGAACATAGAGAACATGGCAAGTCTCCCATTCTTGATCTCCTTTACCTTGAGCTCAGCAAATGCCTCTGGGTCATCAGCAAGCCCCAATGGGTCAAAGCTACCACCAGGGTAGAGTGGGTCGACAACCTCACCAAGAGGTCCACCAGCTACACGGTATCCCTCAACGGCTCCCATCAAGATAACCTGGCAAGCCCATATTGCCAAGATGCTTTGTGCGTGGATCAAGCTTGGGTTGCCCAAATAGTCAAGTCCACCATTGCTGAAGATTTGGGATCCGGCCTTGAACCACACAGCCTCGCCAAACTTAACACCGTTACGGGCCAAGAGCTCGGGGAAGACACATCCAAGAGCACCAAGCATAGCCCATCTGCAGTGGATCACCTCGAGCTCACGGTTCTTGGCAAAGGTTTCTGGATCTGCTGAAAGTCCAGCAGTATCCCACCCATAGTCACCAGGAAATTCACCGGTCAAGTAGCTTGGGGACTCACCGGAGAATGGGCCCAAGTACTTAACACGGTCTGGACCGTACCATGGGCTGCTAGATGCGACGGGTTTGGCGATAGTCTTTCTCATGGACACCCTTCCATTTCCAGTAATTTCTGGGGCAGATGGGGAGAGTTTCACTGCCTGTCCAGCAAAAGAAGGGGAAGAAAGAGCCATTGTAGAAGCTGCCATGGTTTATCAAGAGGAAAGTAAGAGGTTGCTAGTTTAAGATGTCAAAGTTAGTTGTGATGAGCTGAAGTTATTCTGGCTTCATTATACATAGAAAGTAAGAGGGAAAGAGTCCTTATCTAGTGATATCTATATCACTGATCTCATTGGGGTTCAAGATTTCATATGGGCAGCAGTTCATGCACATTTGGCAATTGCTAAACCATCAATTTTCCAAGATTTTTACTTGGGGTACCCAACCAAATTTGTCCTTGATCCCATGTGTGGCTGCTACAAGGATTGCACTCTATTCTGTGATTTATTGAACTTACAATACGATATCTCCTATCATTATCCAATAGCCATTTAATTAAATTCTCTAGTTTTTATCTACCAGCAGTGTAAAATATACCACTGCTATAGCTCATTCAATGTAGGACAATGGTTTATGGCTCTGCTAAACTAAATTGAGGAAAAACTGAAAATTATTACCTTTATAATTTGTGGGAATTGATATTGCATGCTTATGATTGTAAAGCAATGCTATTAAATTAGAGAAGATATTCTCAAAATTTATCCTGTTCTTAAAGAAAAAAAGAAGAAGAAAATACAATGAACTAGGTGACTTAGTGGCATAATTTTTCTTGATTTATACTTTTCATAATACTGTGGAACATAAGCAAGAGTTAATGTCATAGTTATGTAACTTTCAATTTAAATGAAAGTGAAGATACTGGTGTTTGGGGGTTTTACAAATGCAGGCAATGCAAGAATAACTAATTTTTATGGCATTGGGCCATGCTTGGCTTTTGTTTATCGCATATGTATACAAAGTTTTATATATGTTGTACTGTTAGTTTCATGTTTAGAGATTGAACAACGGCTTAATTAGTACGTGCATTTTAACTACTACATGAGCAATGCCGAGACTAGGAAAGAGTTTGCTCAGAAGGACAATGTACATGGATTCAACTAGTTGGGATTCATTGTGTTAAGAACATTTGCTGCAACATGCTATGTTCAGAGTTCAGACTACTAAACATATTGGTTTTCCCTTAACATAGAAATGTCAATGGTCTTGTGGTGAAGTAATATTCTGTCCCTCTTTCACTTCTCAACAGAAAAATGAGGAATCATGTAATAACATATCATGTTGTTGAACATTATTAAAATTGTATGCGTGGAGTCCAAAATTTGTCCTTTCATCTGTATGATTTTTTTAAGTTCATTATCATGAATTTGTATAACGAAATTCCAAATTTTTTGTGTTTGTTTCAACTTAACTTGTGTAGTTTTTCCAAATGGATAAATGCCTTTAGTTCTGCAGTAGATGTTTTCTGCATAATTCAGAGCAAACGGTGAGAGACAAGAGAACTAGGTGCCTGCTGAGGAAGCAACATACCGCCTTCTTCATTCAAGAGACGAGACAATAGGTAATTTTTAGAAAATACTTCTTTAGCCTTGGATGTTCAACTTCAA